TTGTCTTGATGTATTTTGCACTCACCTTCAAATCAGATCCTTTATCACTCCCTTGATGGCATTAAAGACCAAAGCAGAAAGAATGTGTGTATCTCTGACACGTGAGTTTTGAAGGAAGTTGATGAGTTCCTGGCATGGGATACCACAATAACTGTTCTGTGTTCAAAATAAAGAGATCCAAAATATATCATCAAAGATTGATGGTGTACCAAATCTAGGAGAAAAGTGTTGAGATAAGAACCGATGTGAGGGTGATATTACTATTTATGGAGTGCTTAGCATGTGATTAGAACTGTCCAGGTACTTCATAAATATTATTTGATATGTTTTTCCCAGCAACCCTATGTGGTAGGAGCTTATTATTACCATTTTATAGATGAAAACACTGAAACTTGAAGGACTTGAGTTGTCCATGGTGACTTTGTGGATTTTCAGTATAGATGTAGATGATGGTTTCCTATAGTACAGATAAATTTGACATAGCTATGAGAAATAAAACTTATAATTAAAGACCTATACTAATACTGATATCTCCTGGAAATATCATTCTGCTAAAAAAAAAAAGCATGTGCAAAATACATGCTAGATTCAAAGAACATAAGAGGTAGAAAAATCATGATAACAATTAGACCAACATCTAGACTAAATCCCACAGAGATGAGTCCTGCACTTGTCATTTATCCATGCCCAGACGGCTCAATGAATGGTGGATGAATAAGGGGACATAACTAAGATCACAACTTGAAATAAATCAAAAAGCCATTATCTTTCCCAAATTTTCAGTTTCATCTAAAATTCTCCTTCTGTAAGAGCAAGGTGTCATTCTGCCAGTAAAATGCTGCTGAAAGTATTTGTGCTTATACTCTGCAAGTGATACCTGAAAACAAGTATATATAAAGCCAAAATTGCACTTTCTGTGGAGTCCTCTGCTTTCATGTTCCAAGATGTTTCAAGTACAACACTAATGACGAAGGTTATTATAAAGTAATCTCAATCTTTGCTATTGGCAATTTTCATATGCTTACTACTTCGTGGATTATTGTTAAAATTCAAGTCCTCTAAAATTGTAAATAATTATATTTTGAAATTTTTGTTTGTTGATAGGAAATAGTTTTCTTTTGTTGTTGAAGCTTCTTATCTATAGGAGTAGAGTTTACGCATGATTGTGAAGGAATCTTTCTAGAGTGAGGAACTGTTAGTCTCTAGATAACATTAGAACACTGCAAAATTATGATTTTAAAAGTGATTTGTCTAAAATTTAGTAATAATATCAGGAAAAACTGCTTACCTTCTCAGGTACACAGTTATTTGACTTGTTTTGAAAACCAAAGTGAGATTTGCAACCATTAAAACTGTTGCTAGCTTATTAGATGTGCTTCTGAAAACACTAAAAAATGATGTTAATTCTTTAGTTGAAATGTCTTATGGATTGGTAAATGCCTTTTATGGAATTGTATCATTGCAGAGCTTCTCTTTAATACAATGAAGATATCGACGTGATGAATATATTATTATTTATACTTCTTAAGTTGTCCTTAGATATGTCATACCTTAAACAGTATAATAAATCCAACATCAACTAATAAAAATTTTAGGGTTGAAAACATGAACTGTTTTATGAATTACTAAATTCTCAAAGCCCTTTTCAATTAAAAAATTGTTAGCTATCACATTGCTAAATGTATGCTTACAATAGTGGTAGTGAAGTATAGTAGATAAACTTTCAAAAGAAAATTAATAAGTTAATTTCATTTCAAGATCATATACATGAGATAGTGCAGGCACAACATAACATACAAACATTCCAAGCAATACTAAAGATTAAGTATGTTTTTTGTCATTCTAGATCCTCTAGTCAAACTTGAGTTTCTGTCTTGTATATTAAATATCTAGTGTATAAAAACCATCTAAAGTTAAAATAATGTCTTGTAGGGTTTTTTTTTACAGAGAATGTCTTACATTAAATCACTTGAATCATTTTTCACACTAAATAAATTACATTTTAGACAGTTCAGAATTCCATTTTGTTTTCAAAAAGATTTAAAAAAATTCTAACAGCTAAGAAATGCAAAGTTCCAAAATCGAGGAATAGCAAGCTTAAAAATTAGGAAGAATACCTGCTTAAGAAATCTGAGTGTATCAGAGTTTGAATTTTAAACAATAAATGCGTGTGCAATATAAAACCAAAAAACAGACCCGCTGCTGTCGAGTTGATTCCAAGTCATACACAGTAAATAAACAAATAAATAAAAGCAGTCACTGTCAAGTTCACTCTGACTCATGGCAATCCCATGCATGTCAGAGTAGAACAGTGCTCCATAGGGTTTTTAACGGCCAATTTTTTTTTTTGGAAATACATTGCCAGGCCTTTCTTCTGAGGCATCTCTGAGTGGATTGAAGTCTCAAATATTTTCGTTAGCAGCTAAATAGGTTAACCATTTGCACCACCCAGGAGCTCCAAATGCCCAGTAAAAAAAACTAACTAAACCCATCACTATCAAGTTGATTCTGACTCATAATGACTCTATAGGACAGAGTAGAACTGCTCCATTGGGTTTCCAAGGAGCTGCTGGTGAATTCGAACTGCCAACCTTTATGATTAGCAGTCGAGCTCTTAACCACTGTGCAACCAAGGCCTCAAGGTGACATTTTTACTTTTTAACAGTTCGAGGGGTTTTTTGCAGCAGATTTGTCCAATGCAATGTAGTTTGGTTTCTGGTATTGGCCATTTCGAATCGAAAAACCGTATGATCTACTATGCCAGGAATGACAAATTGAAGAGGATTGGTGTCACATTGTTTTTCAAGAAGAACATCTCAATATCTATCCTGAAATACAACGCTGTCAGTGATATTATACATACGCCTACAAGGAAGACCAGTTAATACACTATTATTCAAATTTACACACCAACCACTAATGCCAAAGATAAAAATACTGCAGATTTTTACCGACTTCTGCAGTCTGAAACTGATCAAATATGCAATCAAGATGCACTGATAATTCCTGGTGATTGGAATGCAAAAGCTGGAAACAAAGACGAAGGGTCAGTAGCTGGAAAATAAGGCCTTGATATTAGAAATGACATAGGAGACTGCAAGATACAATTTTGCAAGATCAACAACTTATTCATTGGAAATGCCTTTTAGAACCACATAAATGGCAATTAAACAAACAGACCTAGCCTGATGGGATGCAGAGCAATCAAATTGACTGCATCTCTGAAAAGAGACTGAGAAGAAGCTCAACATCATCAGTCAGAACAAGGCCAGGGGCTGACTGCAGAACAGACCATCAATTGCTCATATTCAAGTTCAAATTGAAGCTGAAGGACATTAAAACAAGTTCACAAGAGCCAAAGTATGACCTTGAGTGTAGCCCACCTGAATTTAGAGACCATCTCAAGAACAGATTTGATGCATTGAACACTAATGACGGAAGACTAGATGGCACTGAACCATGACAACATCTAGAATGTGTTAATAATTCTTACAACTGAACAAAAAAAAGACAAACACCCAATAAAAATGCAAGCAGAGGACTTGAATAGGTATTTCTCTAAAGAAGAAATAAAAATGGCCTATAAATACTTTAAAAGGTATTCAATATCATTAGTCAATAGAAGAATGGAAATCAACACCACAAGGAGACACCACTTCACACCCACAAGGATGACTATAATTCAAAAGACAGGCAATAACAAGTTTTGACAAGGATGAGGAGAAATTGATAACCCTCATACATTGCTCTATTCTGTAGAGTTGTGATGAATCTGAGTCGACTGGATGGCAACATGTTTGGTTTTGGTTTTTTAATCATGAGTAAATAATAAATTGCATACATGACGTAGGCATATGTTGTATTTAAAATTTCCTCCTATGTCTTTTATCAGAGAAAACAAATGAACAAATATAAAAATAAAATAAATGTAGCTTAAAACCAAAGTAAACACATTGTCATTGAGTCAATTCCAACTGATGTAGGACAAGGTAGAACCGCCCCATAGGTTTTTTAAGTCTGTAAATCTTTACAGAAGCAGACTGCCACATCTTTCTCCTGTTGAGCTGCTAGTTGTTTCAAACTGACAATTGCCAGCAGATTTAAGTGAGATATCCAGTAATTTGTTACCTGACATCCTCTTTACTCTGACTCCCAGATAGTTTGCCATCTGCAGACAGCAACCCTCCCCAGCTCTGGGTCACCTCTGTACTTTACTATGAGGAATTTAAGGATGTTTAGAGTACAAGCACTTTGCACTTGGTTACCAAATGAAAGTTTGGTAGTTCAAATGCACCCAGCTGTGCCATGGAAGAAATGCGTGAGAATATGTGTCCATAAAGATTATAGCCGATAAACTCTATGGACCTCAGTTCTATTCTATAACACTGAGGGTGGCCATGAATCAGAATCAAATCGAGGGCAACAGGTTTGGAGTACAAAACTGTCAATTCATGATCAAGCCAAACCTGGGGCTACTCTTGTAACCCCAGAAATTGTGATTTAAGAGTTACCTTTTATAAAATCTCAGTCATTTTTTTAAATCAGTCTGTTTATTTGACTTCTATTAAAGGAGCTGAGCTGCTGTATCCTCCCAAATCCCTGATTCTTTACATTGGCCACTTGACTGTTTTTCCTGTATTCTTTGCCTCACGATGCTGACCCATTAATAATAGCCCCCATCAGAGAAGATCCATTATCTATCCTACAGTCTTTGTAACTCCGACTGCAGATGTGGGGCTGTGATCCATGACCTTATTTTAACGTAAATAACATGCACCTTCCACACTGGTTTGCTACATGCTGCCTCCTCCCCTCACCCAGGTATTTTCCTAAGCACACAATGATAATTTTTTTATGGCAATATGTTTAAGAAAATTGGCATGGGGCATTTCTGAAAAGGCCTCAGGGGGAGGGAGTGGTCGGCAAGCAATTCTAGAAGGTCACATGATTTGCATCAAAATACTGTACATGTGACCAACCCCCCTGAAAACTGACTCTGACACAGTCTTTTAATTCCTATTGTTTTCTGTTCTGCCACGCTGTTTAACATCACCTGTCTTTGGAATGTCCTGTGACTGCTGTTTGTGGAGAATTCAAACAATCACCTGCCCTGTGTCAGT